CCCCCCCCCCCCCCCCCCCCCCAACTGTAATTTTATTTCTAAGCTGCCCGGCTTAGACATCCACCTCCCACAACAACAAGTGGGCAGAAAAGGATGACGAAGAATGATATATGAGGGTGATTAATGTACACACAAACAGACAGACACCCACACACATATCTACTGTACGTGTTCTTTACCTCCTTCCATTAGAACATATGACAGCAGCAAGCTGAAGACTCGTCTGCAGAGATGTGACTCGCTCCAGCTCCTGCAGAAACAAAAACATATTTGCTGATTGGACGTGTTTCTAAATCCCAAAAATTAGATATACTTCAGCTCAACAGTCCTCAGATGTGGTGGCTGTATTTGTTTTCTTTTTAAAGGCCAAGTACATTTTTACATGTACAGAAACATACGTGCTGATCCTGATAGAAATCCAATGTCATTGTAGCCTTCTGTGCACTGAACTGATATCTCAAACAATGTACTTTCCAAGCTATTGACTGAAAACACAAAGTGCACAGCTCACCCCCATCATGTGTCCCCGCAATCCACATTTGGTGCACAGAAGACTCTCTTCCGGAGTAATAGGCTCAAAAACTGTGGAACCAGCAAACGATAATCTTCCAAAGAAATTCAAACTTTATTCCACATGCATCTGTACAAAGCTGATGTGTTTGTGCCTTACTCGCCTTAGCCAAAAGGTGTCAGCGGTTGTGATTTCTTTGGAAGATTATCGTCTGTTGGCTCCACAGTTTTTGACATTTTCAAGCTATCTTTTGTCAACTAAACCCACAAATAGGCAGAGCCAGCTATCAATCAGCCCGCTGGGCGGATCTTGAAAGTATTGTCGGGATCCGTCCCAGCTGCGGTGCTCTGAGTATATAGCAGGCAATATCCTGCTAATATACTGAGCTTTGGGTCACAGGAGGAGGTTAGAATATGTCCTCCCGTGACCCAAAGAGAACTATGGGCAAAAACACTTACCCCAGAGTTCTCTTTTAAGTAAAAGTTGATCTGTGTCAGACATTTTTTTAAACACAGCCAACAACTGCACAGCTGCCCAGATTTATTTCTTAGCCTCTATCTCAGTTTAGGATGTAGATGGTGATCCTGGATAACACCCGAAGAAAAATGGCGTTCTGATAAGCAAGGCGGATAAGGCATTGTCAGAGGGAGCACTGTTACCGCTTATGTGTTGTAAAGTAGCCACCCCTCCGAGCTTGGAGCGGTGACTACTTTACAACACACACAGGGACCATGGGGAACAAAAGTAGCCCCCCTCCAGAAGGAAGGACAGTGTCAGCACCAATTCAGAGATGATTTGAGGATCTACAGCCGAGTGATACACAAATAAGATACATTTTTGTTAATAGTTAAGTGACTGGAATGTATTTTTAAGATTTAAGTGCTGGAGTTTAGAGTCACTTTAAATCAAAATCGATACAGAGGGAAGCTTCTGCTTCTAAAAAACACCCATGAGCAGTGGCCAGGTGTAGCTTGCTCAGAGCAGAGCAGGGTGGGAAACTAGTCTGATACAAGTCAAAATGCATCACTTATAGTGCCAGTGGTCTTATCCTTTAATTTAAAGGCTGTTAGATATAAAATGGACAAGCTCTCCACATGAACCAATCAAGCAACTGTTTAAAACTATTTCCTTAGGTAGAAAAACTCTGGGTAAAGCTGGGTATATACCCTGGTAGATTTTTTTCACCAACTTTTATAGGAAAAATCCCGTCAGAACACTGGATAATGCCAACAGAGACTTGACGATTGTTGTCTGACATTTTGTTTTATTATTAAGCCGAGATTCAAATGAATACCGCATTCACTGTTAGAATTTTCATTCATTAAAAAATAAATTCTGTCCCACTCCTTGGTTTTTTTTCGTCACTATGGCCAATTTTGACCCCATTACCTATTAGAAAATCAAACAAAATGATCAGGAAACCTATTGGAACAAAATTCTACTGGTGTAGAGTCAGCTTCAGAAGCTGTAGTTCTGTTTTGCTTTTCTCCTGTTTACACAAAAAGCCCCCTAAGTGTTGCTAGATCCTCCTGACAAGTGAGAGGTATTGAAAAAGGACAAAATGTAGCTTTTATCTAAAGTGAGAACGTGTGACTTGATGAACATTCAGAGAGAAGTCACATAAAATGCCCAATGAACCCTCCGTTAGCTCTAAGTCTCCCAGATAAGCGTCTGTGGTGGACTTTAGTAAAAGTTTAGTAAAAAGACCAGAATTAAATGACAATTCGACTTATCAGGACAATCCTTTCTTTAAAAGGGCTTTCTTAATGTTTTGCTTTCCTACTAGACCTTAGAAGTAGAAGATTGAAATACACACATGGCAGAATAGGAGAGGTCCTTCAGCCTCCGCATATTCTCCCATATAGATACAGCCCATTTGGCATTTCCAGTAATAGAGAAGCAGTCAACAAGTGGGTACATAGTGCTGGGCTTTATTTCATTAGAAACCCATGCATGCTCTGGAACCAATTAGTCATGAAACCACCAATGGAAATAATAATTCAGTTAAGTGTTACTCAGTCTAAAGGGCCCCTGAAAGGTAGTATCTCTGCGGCATCCTTTGCTAGATAACCTACGGTGAAAACTCAGCTATCAGAGAGACTACTACTGTGATAAGTCCACTCTGGTAAATCCTTAAAAGAGAACTATGGGGTAACCTTTTTAGCCCATAGTTCTCTTTAGGGTCACAGGAGGACATATACTAGCGTCCTCCCGTGACCCAAAGCTCAGTATATAGTGAGTTATTGTGAGCTATACAGTATACTCAGAGCACTGCAGCCGGGACGGATCCCCACAAGGCTGTCGAGATCCACCCAGCTGCGTGAGTGACAGCTGGCTCTGCCTATCTAGAGGCAGAACCAGCTGTGCCCACCCCCTCCCCTGTTCGCTGCTCCACTCAGCGCTGGAGGAGCGGAGAGGGGAGGAATCCCTGTGGGGAGCGGTGACTGACAGTGACCGCTCTCTGCAGGGAGATGATTGGAAAGTGAGCGAGCGACAGTATGCGTTCGCTTACTTCCCGATCTATAGAGCCGACCTGTGACAGTTTAATTGTCACAGGTCGGCTTGCACTATGAGGTTGAGTGAAAATCACTCACCTCATAGTTCTCCTTTAAGCTTGATAGTTCTTTCACCTCCATTCTGCACACAAAAAACAGAAAGGCTTGGGAGACATAACCCTTCCTGATTATGGTTAAAGCTGTGCCAAAATATATCATAGAAGATGTAAGACTTGAAGCGCCACACCAATTAAAATAACCCGGATACAACTTTATCACGTTAGGGTCAGAGGACATTGAAGCAGAGTATCCAGCGTGTTTCAGAAGTCCAAAACACACACCCCTTCATCAGCGCTTAATGAGAGAAATCATGTATGTGGACTACAATCCCTGCAGCTTTAAAATTGTTTTGCGTGGTGATGGGAATGCTACACACTTGCCAGCAGCTAGTTAGTGTCGCGCTTTAATCCCTAAAGCTAATGTGTTCATTTTCCAGCCAAGGATACTGTAGAGATCCTTTGGATTGCGGAAGCTGCCCACCCATTAGCCAGATCACCCATATTCACAGAACGTAACTACTGTTGGAGTAGAAATACCAAGAAAATAACCACATGGGTCCAGTGTTATCTTTCCACAATTCCAAATAACATCACTAATCCCTACGTCAGCATGGCAACTGCTAAAGTACAAAGTTCCCCACAACTTGCACTTTTATCAATCTTTCCAGATGAAATTAGGCTTTGCAAAAAAAACCTTTGTTGATTCTTTCCGATAGCGGTCAGGGCCGTCATTCCTAAGCAATGGAAGTCTACCTCCCTTCCTTTTTGGGAATGGGTTGAAGAGAAGCAACATCTGAAGCGTATGGAGAAATTGATAGTGAATATTGATGACCGCCATGCTTAGTTCTATTATGTTTTGAACCCTTGGATGTACTACAATCCAGTTTCTAGAGCCGTTGGTACTTTAAAACTTAATAGTGCTCATCTTCTGCTAATTTCCTCCATAAGTTCTGTATGATTCCACCACACTGGGTGCCTCCCCCACCTTCATTTTCCTTCCCCTTCCCCGTCTTCCCAAATTAATTTTTCCCTCATAACATTTTCTCCTCTTTGCTTACGTTCTCTTTGCTTGCTTCACTTTTATCTTGCTTCTCTAATAGCAAGGTTCCTGTCACCTGCACCACTAGAACCCATCAGTGACACATCTTCAGCATTCGCCATTATAGTCTCTAGACTCCCTGGTCTATTCCAGATTATTTTTGTTTATATGTTGTTGTTGGTCTGTAGGAGGGTAATTGCACTATTTGTTTCTTTCAATGGTTTTAATGGTTTTGTCTGATACTTTGTCTGAACTTTGAATGATAATACGATCGCTAAAATAATGCATGGTGACAGAACAGGTATGCATGTTCCTTTGTGTTCTGATGTATACTGCCAGCCTAGAGCACAACCATTGAGAAGCATGACTGAGCAGAGCCTATATATGTAATAAACAAACATTCTAGTAAACCTTTCATTTCTACCCAACATCCGGGACAACTACTAATGCAAATATTGACTTCTAGTAGGGAAAGTTGAGCGCTACTATGCTCTCCCTTTTCTGCCGGGCTTCACGATTTATCATTAAGGCCCCCGTTCACATATAGCGAATTGTCGCGCGATTTCCGCCGCGATATCGTGCATTTTTGCCGCGCGATATCGCGAGAAGTCGCCGGCCAATGTTATTCAATGGAGCTGTCTTAACTCCATGTCGCGCGTCGCTCGTCGCGGTCGCAAGTCGCTTCTACCGGACCCTTTTTTCGGCGGATTTTGCGCGATTTTACTTTTTTTCTATGGAGCCCGACGGGGAAGGTCGCGCTACCGTCGCTGGATCGTCGCTGGAACGTCGCCCCGAAAGTCGCGCTATCCCGGCCGTGCGGATCCGCTGCAAAAGGTATGTCGCTATATGTGAACGGGGCCTAAATAGCATCTACATCAGAATGCATTTTTAAATTTTAAAAGAATGTGGAATGGGTATTATTATTATTATACTGGATTTATATAGCGCCAACAGTTTGCGCAGCGCTTTACAATATAAGGAAGACATTGCAATCACAATACAAATCAAGACAAAATGGTAAGGAGGGCCCTGACCCTGAGGGCTTACAATCTAAAAGGGAGGGGGAAGGATACATGAGGAGGTAGCTGTGTGGGGATGAATTGTTTGAGAAAGTGATGGTTGAGCAGTTAAGTTGAGGTGGGATAGGCTTCCCTGAAGAGGTGAGTTTTCAGGGTACGCCTAAAGGCAGTCAAGGTGGGAGGTAGACGGACAGGTTGGGGTAAACAGTTCCAGAGGATGGAAGAGACTCTAGTGAAGTCCTGGAGGTGAGTATGGGAGGAAATGACGAGGGAGCTGGAAAGCAGGAGGTCTTGTGAAGAGCGGAGTGGACGGTTAGGGTGATATTTTAAGACAAGGTTTAAGATGTAGCCGGGGGCAGAGTTGTGGATGGCTTTGTAAGTGATTGTTAATATTTTGAATTGTATCCTTTGGGCGAGTGGAAGCCAGCGCAGGGATTGACAGAGGGGGGTTGCAGACGCTGAACAGTTGGTTAGGTGAATGAGTCTAGCAGCTGCATTCATGATAGACTGAAGGGGGGATAGCTTGTGTAGTGGAAGGCCAATGAGGAGGGAGTTGCAATAGTCAAGACGAGAGATAACCAGTAAGTGGATGAGTAATGGCGCTTCCGCATTGTCACCCAGTCCTCCCGGCTTCCGCAGAAATTACAAGTGGCACTTTCAACATTATTTAGGCATGGTCTGCTGTTGCCGCCATCCAAAAACCCACCTTGAGAAGTGCCATGCCGCCATCGCTGGCGTATATGTAGGCAGGAAGTGGGTACCAAGAGACTTCAAGAGATTAGGAGCGGACATGCAAGAAAGGATACATCCTAATATGTTCCTTGCTTTGTTTCTTTGTATATTCTTTGACAAGAATTTAAAAAAAAAGAAGAAGTCCAGAAAATTTTACAAACTCCTATTTGCCCAAACAACGACAAAATATATTAGTTTAGTAACCTCCTACCCCTCTTCCGATAATAAAGGGAAGAGTGATGTTATTATAAGAAAAATTAATTAGGTGCTCTTTTTGCTCAGTTTTTCCTTGCTCTGCAATTTTCTCTCCTGTTAACAATATAAAACACATTATATACGCCGCTGAATGATAAAGCAAAGCAATGGAGATTGAAAAGGAAATAATGAAATCATCTCCCTGTATACAATATCATTGCATGTCTATTTCTGCTGTTCCCCTCGGAAGGAGAAGCGGTAATTCAGTGTTTGGATTTGAAAAGAAAGACATATTATGCCTCTGTGACAGTATCGCCATCTGAACATTACCCTCATCCCCTGGTGTAAACTGAAATATATATTTTATCAGTAGTTAACCAAATTCAGCAGGAGAAAATGTAATGCTCTCTATATGGCATCAGAATTATAGCACAGATGTCATACCAATGGACCCGCGGGGACTTCCATTACATATAATCTGTAATATCAAAAAAAAAAAAGGAGAAAAAAAAAATGATAAATGAAGGACATCTACAATATCAAGTAGAAACGACTGTATAAAAGGGCCACCATACAGAAATGACAGGCTGCTGAAGTTTTTCATAACGTAGACGGATGAATACAAAAATGATTTGGGGATTATCATAGGAAATTTCAGTAAACACAAATTGTGAGTAAATTACTTTAATGGCTTAATCTAACATGTACCTAAAGCCAAAACATTTTTCTAAGCTTTGGATAGAACAGTGGCAGGTAAGAGCCCCTCTCAGGTTCTCATCGGTGAGTGTGTGCCCAGAAGTCACTGTCACCAAGACAATGTGAGGGGCAACCCAGCAATACTTGATCCAGTAATGACCGTCAAAAAAGGGCATTCCCCCACCTTGCAGAGGTTTTCTTTCTTCCTGTTGCGTCTGCAAAAATAGGAAGTTAAGAGAAATCTACCCAATGGCACACGGATGGGTAATGGAAAGAGAACAGATTCCCCCATCAATGCTTCCGGTAATGGATAAATCCCCCGCTATTTTTCTTGTTCGTTCAGCCGACAGGTTCCATGGAAAAAATGAAACCGTGTATACCCGGCTTAACTCCTTGTTTGCTTTACACTAGTTCTTAATGACATTGGCTGTATGTTTGGGGTCATTGTTACTGCTGCAGATAACTATTGGGGCCAATCTCATGCCTCTCTGATGGTATGACACGATGGAGAGTATCTGCTTGTATTTCTCAGCATTGAGGACATCATTGATTCTGACCAAATCTCCAACTCCATAGGCAGAAATGCTGCCCCAGACTTGCATGAAACCTCCACCATGCTTCACTGTTGCCTGCAGACACTTCTTATTGAAACGCTCTCCGGCCCTTCCAAGGAACAAACTGCCTCGTGCTACAGCCAAATATTTCATATTCTGCAGCTTTGCGGCCAAAAAGCCATACCTCCGACGTGGAAACAAGGCTAAGCGACTCAACTATGCACAAAAACACAGGAACAGGGGTGCAGAAAAATGGCAGCAGGCGCTCTGGATTGATATCTTGATAAATATTTTAAATTGGCCAACTCCATTCCGTTACACGTACTTAAAAAACGCAGCAACTTACAGCAGTGTCATCAATCAACAACTTCATCTGCATTAATCTCTAATACGAGTTGTCAACAGGGCAGAGGGGAACGTTCAAATGGTTGATGAGGGAACAATTATTCAAATTGTACTAAAAGTTTAAATGCCCGCTAGTTTCATCGCCACTCCAAACCATGAAGTGGGACTTGAGCGTCTAACAAAGTGTGCGCCTACCGTGCAACTCATCACAGAGCAGCTTGCCGCACAGAAACCAAATAAATTGCTTTCAACAAATGGCTTTGAACGCCTGAGAACGCCCACAGATTGCTCCAATTCTATTAAAATTATTAAGCAAGCACACGGGAAATCTCAAATTTCAATGAGCGGACAGCGAATCAGAGATTTATTTAGTTATTTATTCCTGCAAAAGTGAACCTGTCAGCACCGGCACAACGAGGGGCTATAAAATGGCAAATATTGTCCCAATTTCAGGAAAGAATCAGACAAAACGGACATCAGGAATCAACAGAAATAGGTCACTCCTGACCGATAAATCCCCTTGTGGTGGGTGCTGCGGTGACAGGCGGATGGTGCCGCAATATCAGCAACAAATGGGCGCACCAACTGTGATATATCTCTATCTTGTAATGACGCAAATAAACCATATCACAAAGTGAAAGTTTCGGGACAACTGCAGGTCTCTTCATCAGGCAAAGAATGTGACACATCATACTGGCCCTCAGCCTTTACACCAGTGGAAACCTCTGCTAAGAGAAATAAGTAAGACGGGGTGGACAAATCGATACGGAATTCAGAAGCCGGTCTGTCCAATCCAAGGGCCAGCAGAATCTTCTTTAGGAGCCAAGTCTATTGACAACAACTAGAGAAAACCTCAAAAGTTAGGTGCCGGCCATGATTTTTAAGGAGCATTGATGTAAGATGACATTGTGGATCAGCTTTTGAAATGCCACATTGCTGGCTGTCTCTGGTTTCAATACTTTGAGACAGATTCTAAATAAGCAAGCAGATTAGAATGTCCGCGTAAAGTCAGATCTCCTGATCTGCATAAAATGCTTTCAGTCAAATACTTAGAGTAGTGAAGACAATAGTGACCCGAAAAAAAATATTTTTAAGAAGAGAGGTCAGACATGGCAGCCTTCACGCTCTCTCTCAGCTGATTTCCTTTCAAACAGTCCATAATACAAAGGAAAGTAGTTAATACAAATACTGTATATAATACAATGAATGTGAAAGATACGTGATAGATAGATAGATAGATAGATAGATAGATAGATAGATAGATAGACCCATTCCTGATCACAAGACTTACCTTCACATACGACGGCTGTTTCTCTAGAATCAGATCAGCGACTTTCTTTGACACCTAAAGAGAATAAGACAATTTCAAGTAACGCTCGGTATGTTTTACACATTTAATGTTCATACAATGGAAAAGGGCACTTTGTACATTGAATATTCACAAGCATACATCCTGTTCAGTCCCATAAATAATGTTGCTGATATGTACCAACTGATAAAATACGAGCAATGACTAAGTACCCCTTGATGTCTCATCTTATCTCAAGAAGACCTCAGCATGTAAACATTCATTACCAGTACACTTTAATTTTATTCAGTGTAGTTTTCAGTTATTTGGTGTAGTTTGAATCTCTTAATTTCACATAAGAATTATTATCCTCTGCGACTCCTCTTTTATATGAATTTACATCACTGAGAATGCAGCCTATCCCTTCACTAGAGACCGGTCACATCACTGAGAATGCAGCCTATCCATTCACTAGAGACCGGTGACATCACTGAGAATGCAGCCTATCCATTCACTAGAGACCAGTGACATCACTGAGAATGCAGCCTATCCATACACTAGAGACCAGTGACATCACTGAGAATGCAGCCTATCTATTCACTAGAGACAGGTGACATCACTGAGAATGTAGTATAGTGTAGGGACTCACTATACAGTGGACCAAGGATAAGGATTACAACTGCTAGAGCTTGCACTTTAAGTAAATCAGCAATGGCAGCCCAATATCTCCTATCCTGACAAGTTTCCTTTACTACGCTTTCTTAACATCACTAAATCCCAAACACAAGTAAGATCCGTTATAAAGAAAATCACCACTAGAAAATAAAACAAAAAAAGTCTAAAATGCAAACAAGCAGCATAAAAATGATCGATGAACAGGGCACAGGAAAAAGTACAAATAACAATACAAGCAAGGTACGACTTTCTAATTCAATTAGGTCAATGATTTCATAGCAGCCACCGTTTCCGCTCTGCATGCGCGTCTCGTCCTATTTCATATACAAGGCTCAAGTTATATACATTGTAGAAATAAAGAAAATCATTTAAAAAGTCATCTCCGAGCAATACATCTGATGATGGAGAAGGGGAGCAAATGGTGAAGGAAATGTTTTTCTTTTCGGTTTCATAGAATCCATTTTCGCACATGAGACAATTACATTTATTGGCGGTTTTGCATTATACATGACATCTTTTAACAGAAAGTGCCACTTTCACGTGCCATGGGAAGTAAACATCATGCATCTGACAAATCCCATTAAAGAAAATTTCATCTTCACGCTCAAAGTCTTGATGTTTAATTCACACATTTCATATATATATAATATACATAGTGAAATGGGTCAGTGATCGTTAGAACTGTATTTTATTGCGTCCTCAGGGTCTGATCTACTTAAAGCAAACCTGTCATCAGAAAAAGAAAATGTGCTACAAAAATGTGAGCGCGTGCAGTTTGTGGAGTCCTGACCGTCATACCTATATAAGCTTGCTGGGCATCCGTGGATGTTACTAGGACTGTGCTAGGTGTCATCCTTGACTCAGACCTCACCTATCTTCCCCACATCCAATCACTATCCAAATCCTGCCGCTTTCATCTTCGTAACATCTCCAAAATACGCTCCTTCCTCACCAACGAAACCTCCAACCTACTCATTCACTCCCTTGTTATCTTTCGTCTCGACTATTGTAACTCTCTCCTCATTGGCCGACCTCTACACAGGATATCCCCCCTTCACTCTATCATGAATGCAGCTGCTAGACTCATCCACCTAACCAACCGCTCAGTGTCTGCAACCCCCCTCGGCCGATCCCTGCGCTGGCTTCCATCCCCCGCCCCCCTCTGCCAATCCCACCACTGGCTTCCATCCCCAGCCCCCCTCTGCCAA